GTCAGGAGGGGCGAGATGGGGGGCCCTCCTGCTGTGTCCTAAACCCCCGCCTAGTTAAGGTTTTTTAATGTTGGACTAAAAATTGGATTGTTAGAGACTTTGTTAACTCCTAAGGGTAGGACATGACTGACATTAAGCTCAAAGAAAAGAGTTGATGCCTAAAGAGACGCCGCCCATCCCGAATTACCCCGACCACCAGCTGCGACTCAAAGGAACATCGGGGGCTCAGGTGGTGGTGCCGGCCATTAACCAAGTGACCTAGGGTACGGGTCACACTGTATGGAAAAGTGGTTGTTGTTTGTTCACACAAAATCAACAAGTAGTTATATTGGTGAGGGAGGGAGGGGGAAGAAAGAGAACTTCGAAAGGGAACTTTTTGGATAAAAACGATGTTAACATAACAATTAAATTGCGATTCTAGGTAATCCAACTCCCAACTCGAACTTTTTTAGATGAAATCTACATTCGACATCTCTTTCTATTTCTCTCCGTTTTATTCTATGCTACTAAAAATGTAAGTAGGTAATTCATTTCTTAGTACTAATGAGGAGTTCCTAGAGGTTCCCATCTAAAAATACACCCAGTTTTTTCTATGATTTCCTCAAGTGTTTTACAGTAGGAAAAATAATTATACGGGAATTGGAAGAACTTCTGCACTTTTAAGAAAATGAGAATGAAAGATATTTATAGCCGAAGTAATCATTCTTAGAGATTCAGCGGTTATAAGAAAGAAAATGTAAGTGAAAAAAGAAGGCGGACGTAAATTGTCTTCAAAAAAAATACGTACAAATTCGCTTTATATCATGCTGTTATTATTGCCTCGTACAGCTATATCTGTTTACCCGTAGATGAGCAAAGAATAAAGGAAAAAGTACAGGGATCTAGAAGATACACGTAATATGAATGAATTGCTATAAGTGTATGCTAATCTTTCATTTTACTCCTCTCTCTACCTTTGCTAATAAATCTTGAGCCCATAGTCTCTGAATAGATGAAATGGCCGTTTATTTTCTCGCTCTCTACACAGGACTAAAATAACGATTCAGTGAAAGGACGAAAGCAATATAGGACGATAAGTAAAGGGAAGATGACTAATCTAAATGTAGAAAACAGGATAAAAAATGTCCACCTCATTTTAGCTAATGCATGTTTACAACATGAACTAGTTTTCATGATTGAGTAATCTTCTGCTTTAATTTCTAAAGCTTCTAGAGCTTAATGAAAAACTATTAATTCGCAATAGAATCACCGGATTAAAGCTTGTCAGACCGGCTCAGAGCGAAAATCTCAAGTTAGAAATTTGTCAACCTGTTAAAACTCAAAATCGGTTGCTGCCTTTTTGCCATATTTTCTCGTCTAAACTTGACTAATATGATTTTTCAAGGATACGAAAAATTCAGTTATTTTTTAAAAATAATTGTTACTTGTTTATTGTATTCACTATTGTAGAACATCTCTCAAGAATATTTAATCGAAACATAGGTAAGGTCGATCTAATGAAAGCTTCATTCAAACCTGGGTGGCAAAAATATTA